AGTAGTTGGCCTCCACGTGACATGTTGCTAAGTTCTTTTCTGTTGCAACACTTTTGTAAATGTGATGCATACTGGGATTTTATGGAATGAAAGGGTATAATGAACGTAAATAGATGTACAGAAATAAAATACACTTACAGATACAAAATGCACTATTACTTTAATATTTGTCGCGAATGTTACTATATGAATATATTCTGTATGATATGTTAAGTACATACATATATTTTAGATATTGGACCAGCATTCGTCTCCAGTGAATCATGCACTTCTGTGGTTTGCAATTCTATTAAAAATATTTGTAAACATTGATATCTGAACTTGAAACATAATGATATTTTTGCTACAATATCTATCAATATATCATATCGCAATTTTTCTTCGATATGCAAACCCACTCTTAATATTTTTTAAACAGGAATACTTGGGACTCATACAAAATAATGAATTAATATGAAACAATAATAAATATGAAATTTTACATTTGCGCGATAGACCAAAATTAAAAAGCTTTCAATAAAGGAGTATTTATACTGACATGGAGGTGATTTGTGGATGTATTTAAGCCTGAATGCTTTCATTTATTTATTATGCTGAAGTACAAATGAAAATTGCATTGACGGGGTATCTCCCAGTCGGAAAACTCTGTCCGTTTTCCAGTTACTGCTCCGTTTTTTTTGTCTATTCTATCTGCAAGTGGATGCGACGTGTCCGCAATAATTGGCCGCAATGCTGCACGGAGAGTGGGCTCCTGGCAAAGGCGACTCCGAATACGAATATGTGTCAGGCGTGGCCAGAGAAAAGGATAAAAGAAAGAATTGCGGGGATTTGTCACATTTTGTAGGCTGCAGCAGCAGGACTAGGAGGCGACTAAAATAATCAACTAAGCCAAGTGCGACAACTGCGACAAAGTGTGCCGCACCAAATGAAGAAAGTTCGCGCCGCTTTTCCCCGACGCATCGGCTTTCTTTGCGTTTTCCAGGCTGCAATGCGAAAAAGTCGTAGAAAAGTAGTTAAACTTCTGGTCTACTTCTCTATTTTTTTCTCATCTCCCGTCTGACATAATTCGCAAAAAGTGTGCGAGGCGCCATTGCTGAAGGATATGTCTATGTAGCGGTAGTAATAAATTCCTTCAGTCGTGCCACAAAGTATGCTAAAGTTGCCCCTTTTATAAGAGCATGCTGCTTCATACGGAAAAGCAGATAGCTATAGAATAATACTGAGAAAAGCTGCTGCAAAAGCGAACAATTTGTGCGACAAGTTGCACTGAGGATTATGACTCCATTGACAATCTGTTGCTGTAATGAATCTTAAAGGATTTTTTAATTAATCTGCAGAAAACAAGTTAGGAATAGCTTTAATTAAAATGAAATGTGGTATAATTAAAATGAAATGATATAAAGCTACAGTTAAAAGTGTAACTTATCTGTGGCTTTAAAAATAGCAAGGGGAGAAAAAACATTATATTTATATATTAAAACGAAAAAATTAAAAACGGTCAAAAGAAATCCAGGTCGTTGTCAGCCAATAAGTACTAAATTCCTGTTACCTTTAAATAATAAAACCAATTATTCAAATATATGAATTTTTAAATCGCTCAGTTTATCTCAAAGCAAAGCCTTTATGTTTAAGCTGATAAAAAAATGTATATAAAATTTAAATTAGTTTCACTAAAAAAGGTAGTTAAGCTCCGACACAAAAGGCTGTTGTTTGTGGCATCAATAAAATGAGGAAATTAAATATGATGACAAAAAACAAATGCGTATGCATTTTAATGGTTTGGATAATTCGTTTCACTTTTGCCGTTGACCTTCGCCCCGACATTGAGGACTCGATTAAAGCCGCAAAGCAGCAATTTCAGTCTGGATCACGCCCCCAGCTAACAAAAAATGGGGGGGCGGTGTGGGTGGCTGAAAACAAATAGCAACAACGTCCCGTTATGGCCAAGTTCAGGCCAATGTCTGGCGGCGTCTGGGGCACGTGCTGCCCAGATTCATCTCCGTCAGCAGAAGCCTCAGCTCCAGCTTGAACATTTCATACTCTCACAACCAGATTCACATTCAGCTGCAGCTCCGGTTCCGGCTCCGGGTCCGCCATTTCTCTCCATTTAAATGGGATGCGTCGGGAGGGTTGGGAAAAAATTGTGAAAAATTTGTAACCGAGGCGTTTTGTTTGCTCTCGTTGGCTTTGGTCACGGATACCACCAGACTGCCAGTCAAGTCAAGTAAACATGATGATGTGCGGGGGGTCTAATTTTTCCCCTTTTTTCCCCAGCCATCCAGCCCCCGTTTCCCTGCCCGTTCCCAACTTTCCGACTTTTTCCGTCGCTGTCTGTGAGCTATATGGTTGCACAATATTTTACATTTTCATGCATGACGCGTTTAATCACGTGATGCATATGATTTTTAGCCAGCCCTGGGGTAGAGCGTTGAGTTGAGGGAACGGATGGATGGATGCCTGTTGGTGGGAGTGTTGGGGGCTTCCCCTCATATATTCATGCATACAATTCCATCAGCATGAATTATGTTTTGCATACTTTCAGGCCGGGCCAGTGCTTGTTTTGCGTTTAGGTCTTTGGCGCTGTCTGGCGCATTCTTGTAGCCCTTGATGCCCTCGGCAGTCGCCTTTCATCTCGCCCTGAGAGATCCCACTCGCCACAAGTTCCCTTCTATTTTTCCCTTTTTTTAGATCTTTTCTAGGGGGTGTGGGCCCACTCAAAAGTTGTGGATTAGAGCGTGTAATTTTAGTAAAAAGCGCCAACCAGCCGCACTTTACATGCATGCTGACAGATATGGTCGAAATAATGAGGTTTAATGAGTAAAATGAGTGCTATTAATTAATTATATCTTATTAATATGCTGCAGAAATCATTAAGGTCTTAAAAATCCTAAAAAAGTGCCCAAAACTAGACTATTTTACAAGGTACTTAAATTTGCATTGCATACATTTTGACACCTTTTGAAAGTGATTTCTGGAGCAATCTAGGTATTTTACTAAGAATATATAGAATTTGAAGAATTTATAGTTTTTATTGTGCATTTTATTGTTGATCCTATTCGCTTGCCCTCAGTTGTATGTGTGTTTATGCGGGGGTTCCCCAGTGAGCGGTTGTTGCCATATTTTAAGTGTTTTCTGGTTTTCGGCACTGTGCAATGCGCTTTTAATTCCTCTCGCAGCGCTCTCGCCTGTAATTTATGTGCTTAACTTTCACACTCGGCTGGCCGGCTAAAACAGTCACCGAAAAATCGTCATAAAAATAGGAATATATATGAACACTCTCGCACTTCGGCCATTTCACACTTTTGCGCCTCTAGCCGAAGAGCGGCTGCGGTGGAAAATGAAAGCGAACCCCACAAGGACACCAACAGGACGAAAGGGCCGAGGAGGCCAAATATATTCGAGTGAATATTTATGACCAACAAAAGTAGCATTTGTGCTTTACATTTCGACTTTATTGTGGCCATTGTTGTAGCCTGCAAAGTTGTTGTCCTCTAAGCAACAGTCCCGGGCATCATCAGCATTCCAGCCGCCTTGTCAGGCTGATAGTGTAGCTGTTGTTGTTAATGCACTGGGAAAAAAAGACCCCTACTTATGATTTGTTTGAAAATTATATACTTACTTAACAGAAGGCATTATATTGTTTATATTGGTAAATATATTATTTTTATTTATTATTAAAGATCATTAGATTGGAAAGTGAATCTATTTGTCATAAATTAATTGTTTAAAATGTATTTGAACTCAACATCTTTGATATCTTAACTATTCTTAATTAATACATTAATGTAGGAATCACAATTAATCCTATCCCATTTGCATTATTTCTTCTCTGTGTAATGTGATGCTGCTAGTGGTGATGTCGTCCTCATTGCTGTCAGCATTTCCGACGCTGATGAGTTTATGCTTGGGGGCCGTATTACTTTATTCCGGCGTATTTCTATCCCCTGGCCATCTCTTCCCCTCTCCGGTGGTTTACCCCCTACACACACTCACACACACACACACACACACACTGATACACCGAAAGAGTCGCCCATTCATGACTGTCATGAGTTTTCCGCAATTGATGGTCTAATTATGCCGCCAACACTAAATTTCATGACTTTGCTGGTCGAGCCAACAGGCAGACGAAGGCCACTGATGACGAGGGCTTTTCCGGGGGGGCATTGTACTATAATTTAATGGAAAAACATTTTGCCACACATCTGTAGGGAGCGGAAAATGGAAGCTAGAGCCAAAATGGAGTCGAGAGCCACTCCACAGTTTGACAGCCCTTGGGTAGCCCGGCAGTCGGTTGACATTTTAGCAAGAATTTATCACCAACATCAGGCAACACAACGGGAAAATATGTTAATGCAACAGTTTAGGATTCTTGGCCATATGCTTTTAAGTTTAGGAGGAATACAGAACAGAGTTTTTAACTTGTTCGAATTATCCACATTAATGTAAATAAACCTTAGCTTGTTTTTAAAGATTATAATCTGAGCAAATATTACAAAATCCTGAGGAATTTATTAAACAAATGCAAAATATGTTAATGTAAATCGTAAAACCTTTGAGCTTCCAGTTTTAATTCGAATTTATTTTATGTGTTATACCCTTTATATTATAATTTCCAATCAATTAAGATTGCCTTATGAAAGCTAATTTTTGCAGTTCGTTTTACTGGCTTACTTTATTAAAATAAACCAGCTTGTATTTGTAACTAATTGATTCGTCACCATTTTTTGGCTCGACTTAATTGAGTTCCATTCGGTCGGGAGTCGAGAATCGAGATTCGCTGACGGGCTTTCGCTTAGATCTCCAAAGCCCAACTGGTAATTACCATACAGAAACCAATGGGGCGTATCAAATATGTTCACACTTCATAATATTTGCATATTAATGTGCATACCATATATATGTATAATTAGCTTCGCAATAATTAATGCCCGAAACAAGAAACCTAATCGAATGCTGCCGAGTCGCAAACAGACGAATTAGTCTTCTTCCCTCTTCTCTAATGAGAATCCATGGCTCCGGAGAATATTTGATGTGTGAACTAAGTTAGTTAGTTCTTGGTGAGAGTTCTGAGCAGAAGGTCTAGCCAGCAGATCAGGCTCCAGAGCAGCCTTTAAATATGTATCCAAATTGGCCCGTTACGCTCCACTTGACGCTGGTGTGCCTGGGCGTTGTTGTGGGCCAAATGTTTGCACAGCCGCTGACAAAGTAGGTCGAATCTGCACGTGAGTGTGTGCTTCAGTGCTGGCAACAACCTAATTCGAGGCTAGCAAAGAGCGACAAAAATAAAAGTGAAAAAGAGGACATAGTTTGAAAAAATTCAGACCAAAAACAGTGCAGTAATTTTGAAAATAAATCTGTGAAGTGCAAATTATGCAAGAGTAAATTAGAGATAAACTAGACAAACTAAAGTTTTGAAATGCTTATAAATAATTGCTAAATACAAACATCAAGTCCCTTATTATATTTATGTTCAATTCATTATAATAACCTTCCGATTTAACCAAAAAATAGGAAACTCAGCATCACTGCTAAGTGGTTTTGTCGTGGGTTGTTGCCTAGTTTCACGTTTAGGTCAATCAATTGAGCCAACTATTTGCTTACAGGATCCGCGGCCCTTTGAATATCGAATCAGCGGCTGGCCAGATGATTGAGGAAGCCGGTCTGCAGCAACATCTCCAACAAATCACGGGCAGCGAAGCGTTGGCGCCATTGTTGCTTCAGTTAGTGGGCCAAACTGTGCCAAATTGGCAGCAGCAGCAGCAACAGCAGCCGCAACAGCAACTGCAACAGCAACAACAACAGCAACAGCAACAGCAACAGCAGCGACCCAAACAGGCCACAAATCAGCCGCAACAACAGGGGGAGCAACACTTTTTTGTTTATGGAAACGCGGCGAGTCAACAACCCCAGATATTGGCCGGGTTCAATGGCGTCAATGGGCGACCTGAAATGCTGAACCAGCTACAGCAGCAGCTCCTGCCAAAGCCCATTCAGGCGCAACAACAATATGCCGCCGAATCCAGGCCAAAAATCGTTAAGGCGCCGCCTGCGGCAGCCGTTTGGGCGCCAGCATTGTCGAACCCACCGCAGCTCAACCAGCCGCTCTTGAGGCCCCAGACGATGTAAGTAAACTGTAGACTCTGCAAACTATACATATAATCCATTATTTGCATTAAACAATGCATTTTAATTAGCCCATCCCCCGCAAATGCTGCCTCGCCGGCAAGTTGCCAACTCTGCTGCAATCCATCGGAACTTGCCACGCCCACGGCCACGCCATGTCCGCCCTCCAGTGGGGGCCACGAGATTGTACCGCTGCTGACTGCCACGGCGCTCAAGGCGGCAGTTGGTTAAGTTTTTAATTAAATCGCTGGCATAATTAATAATAAAGATGCGCATAGACAGCCGAGGAGGAAAGTGTTGCATACTCTCAGGATGGCCGATAACGTGTGTGTGTGTGTGCGTGTGAATGGCATAGCGGAAGCGGGTTTCTTGGTATTGAGTGCCTGCATGTGTGTGTGCATTTAAGGGACATCAACAGCAGCTGTGCCAGATAAATTTTGAAGAGGCGGAAGCTGCTTGCTGTGGGGTTATTAATTGGGAAGAGAATATGAAGTAAGAAAAATATGGGGAATATTTGCACATTTTAATTTTTAGGATAAGGTAGAGAGCAGATAAAATTATCTATCAAATTAGAATTAGTCAAAAAATAATATCCACTTTGACTACGTTTTTATATTTTACGAAGGTATTTAAGCACAGAACTGTTAATTACTTAGGTTGCGGTGTGGAGAGGGATTAAAATAAGATTAAAATATTTATTTTGTTAGAACCGGAAGTATTGATTGCCTTGGGGGGAAGGAGACTAAAATCGGATTACAGGATTATTTAAACTGTTATAAATTCAATTTAATATTGTCGAACTAAAATAGACTCCTAGATATATTTAAGAGTTGAAACTTAACTACTTAGAGATGTTTTTTATGACATCACTCATACGCACTGTTGCCTAAGCTTAGGAATAATATTTCTAAGTAGCTCACAACTATTAACAGCTTTTAAAAGAAAGATTTTCAATTACTTTTATGAACATAAAAAAACATTTCATTTATAAATATGTGGAATCAAAATCGTAAAACAGTTTCCAGCATTTATTAATAATTAATTATAAATCATACACGAAAACTCTGTTGTCTTATGGCATTAAAAGCCTCTTCTTTGTCCTGTGAGTACAGATTTTTTCAGTTTAATCCTTGAGGATTTACTCTGCCTGATTTAGTTGTCACTGATGCAGTGCCCCGCCAACTTTTTGAACAATATGTGTGACTTATCTGTCATCGGGGCCTTACTGCACAGTGCACTCTGAGCCTTAGACGCCACCTCGGCACCTCGTCACCTCCACCACCAACGCCATTGCCTTCTGTCTGAGCTGTCACAAAACTCAACACAAGAGTAAAGCATGCAACTAAAAACAATTTCTAAAAATATATGTACGTAAATATATCATGCAACACGAAAAAACCGCAAAAAACACTTCATGTTGAGTGCGACTCGCAAATTGTTGGAAGGGGAGGAGCGGCCACGACGGCTTCCTCCCTCCGCCCAGGAACAGAGGCGAAATAATAAATAAAAATCCACAAAATGTGTGTGTGTGTGTGTCGAGTCTGCGGCAAAGTGTTTTCCGCAAGTGTTCGAGCGGGAAAATGAAAGTGCTGAAGTGTCGCCCATTGTTTGGTCTGCAGCAAAGCGGTTCTGTTCAGTCCACGGAGCAGTCGCCAGCATTTGCATTGGCCACCGGGAGTTGATGACCGGAATAGTCAGCGGTAACCCTAAGGAACTGCAAAGGGTTTCTATTTAAATAGAGAATTAAATTAATAACAACTTAGTTGGATTAAGTATGGTTTTAACTCTTCAAGAATAACCATCAACTTGTAAACCTCTTAAAATATTTTAAATAATTGTTTTTATGTTTGCCAAACTTTTATTTCGTATTGTGAAATGTTTGAGGTAACTGAAGGTAACATAATTTAAAAACACACAGCAACCTTAGCAAAGAAATTCCATTTAACACTTAAAACGTCTTGTTTTGTTTTGTTGGATTATAAATTCTAGATGTCTTAAAAATTTGGTTCAGTTTCTGTTTTTTAATTTTTGCTCTTTCAAGAAACAAATTCCGTTGTGGAGGTGGATGTTCCATGATGTGAGTAGCAGAAGATGGGTTTCTTTATTTCAACTCCCCAAGTGTTGTCATTGGTACTTTTGTATACACTTTATAGGGCTCCATTCGGCGGGGTCTCTAATTTCAGGCACGCATAATCAGGGAGCGTGGCTAATTAAATTCTAAGCATTCGCCAGCATCAGCTCACTAAAAAATGTTTTATATGGCGATGGAATCTAAGCCCCCTTCCCGCTCTTTCGTATTCCCATTCCCCCCTCCGTTCCATCTCTGTCCCAATCTCGAGCTTGTGCTTTGTAATTGCAGATCCCGGACTTCGTGCACGCCCCTATGCAAATCGCACAAAGCTGCTGCTGCTTTTGTTGCCGCTGCTGCTGCACTGAAAAAAGTAATTCTAAATGCTAGTTGTAAAAAGAATTTTGCATCTTTTCTTGAATTAAGTTAGTATTGGTATGTTGGCTTCAATGAAAAGTCAGCTACTTACAATTAATTATTTATTCGATTTATTTTATAAAGCAACAACAAGTTTTAGAACTGACAGATGTAATATATCACATTTTGTGTATGTATAGTTAGGACTCTAGGTCTTGTATTACAATTTTGTACAAATAATACCTTAATACAATTTCCATGAATTTCATATGTACTAAAACTATTTCAGCTAGGGGAGCAATATGAGTATTTCAGACACAATTTTCTTATAAGCATTCACATTTATTATTAATCAAAAAGGAAGTTCAGAAGTAGTGAATTTTTCCTTGATAATACTGGCAGTTTATGACCAAAATGTCCGAGTTCTATATCAAAAAGCACATTTTCAGGCATTTTCCAGCAAGCAGTATAATCATTTCATAATTATGAGCGCTCTTAATTATAGAATTTTAAATGGCATTTCACTTAAATAATATAATAATAATTTTAATATATGATTTTATATATATAATATATATGATTTTTCGCCCAGTGTTGCTTTTACTGCTCCGTGTTGTGCTCTTTGTGCCCATCTGCAACCTCATCTCATCTCGCGCTGACGGCTTTTGAACTGCCTTCGTTTGTAGTCGTTGTCCTCCTCGCCGTTGTCGTTGTCGTTGTCGTACTCTAAATTAACTGTTTCGTTACGTCAGCGCTGTCTTTTGTGCGTTGACAGAAGCGGCGATGGCTGTCGTCGAGTCCTGTTTAGTTGCAAGTTTGTATGAGGCAGCCGTGCGTGCCCGGGCGCCTGGCAATTGGAGCAATCAGGCAGCTCAACTCAGCTCTCGGCTTGGTTTAGTCCGCTTTAGCTCCAGACAGCCAATCCGCCAGCTCTCGGCACCCAGGATTCTTGGGTAGTCGCAGTACTCGGTGCGGAGACAGTTGGCTTTGTCTTGTCAGCTGCTGGGGTCCTGGCACAGTCCTGATTGGCATTTACAATTAGCGAGTAGGCAAATATAGGGATAAAAGGGGGAAATTGCACAGGTTTTGGTGCCAAGACAAACAAAAATCCACTTTCAAGGGATCAAGGGTGCAAAAGCACCCTTAATGGCTGATCCTTTGGTCAAATGAAAGCAAAACCGATTTCAATTTCAATAAGTTTATTCAAAAGACTCAAATTCAATACATTTCTCATTTATACATTATCTGTTGATTACCTATATTGAGTTGTAAATCACTCTTTTCAATTATTATTGTATGGTTTTTACCGTATTTGTGAGTGTCGTTGTACAAAGAAATTTCTAAACAAGTATATTTATATTTTTTGAAGTTCATAAAAAGTGAAAATATTTAAAATTATACATAATTAAATGAATAACAGGCTAATTAGTTTATACTACATTTTAATTACATAAACAAACTATAGTCAAGGGTATCCAAAAAACATAAACTAACGATAACGTTTCGCCTAAAAGTATGCGTGCAATGTGAGGCTCACGCACACCGTGACACGCAGTGGGGCGCAGGTGATGCCTGTGAGTGTTTGTGTGGCAATGGAATAATGTACTCTTAATTTGTTATGCGTGTGTGATTAATGATCCATGCATAACGATAACTTTGACTCATTACACCTGCTGATTTATCGCTGTCAACGGGCGGTCCACCCTGTCACGCTCCCTACATCCGCCGCCTTCCATACCACCCCCCTCCACACACTCCCTCACACACACATATTCGCCATTACAGAGGTATGGAAATGAATTTTGAATTTTGATTCTGCCACTTTCGCTTAATCATTCCGCAATTAGCCCGCATTGTTAGGGCATTTTCATTGATTTATCGCTGCTGTCGCCAAGACTGCACAGTGTTCGATATTATGCCATTTGATTTTTCCAACTGGCGCTTTTAATTTTCCCATTTTCCGTGTCAGTTTATTTTCCACTATTTCCCCAGTTGTCCAGCGTTGAAAATGCACAATTAATTACACTTTGCGGCATTTGTATTTCACGTGGTCTTTATGGCTCCATTGATTTTTCCGTTCTTCCTTGTTTTCCTTATTACCGTTTACTCGATTTTCCCTTTCACTTGTCATTGGCCAATGCATTTTTTCGGTCTTTGGTGAGTGTGAAGATTAAGTGGAGTGGTTGGAAACGCAAGTGACACTGCCCTGCAACAGGAAACTTTTTGATTTTGTTGAAATAATTTTGTCATGTTTAAAAGCTTTCATTATAACAATATCTCTAGATATTGAGCATAACTTATTTATGCGTGAACTGGTCAATTATCATGCTGACCAGTGTATTTAATGGGCGTGGCATCCAGGTGTCCCGCCTGCGCTAATGACCCATATTATGCGGTTATTTCTGCAGTCCCTCGTCCGTCTGCGGGCTTGTGTTTGTGCAATGCAAGTGCATTTGCGATGACATTTCGAATGTGTTAAGTAATTGCAAAGGCCTTCGATGAGTTGCCGAACCAAAGACCGCGGCCAGGCGGCGGCTGATGAACTGCAGTTAATTGAAGTCTATTTGGGTTGATGGATGGCCGGTCCGGTCTGAATTAACAACGATGTGTGCCCGAGGGAGTGGATCTTAATTAGGGTATTGGGTAGGTAGGAAAACTGCCGGGTCTCGCCTCTCTCCTCTGACAAAAGGCAAGATTAAGCGGGTTAGTCCGAGTTGGGTAAGATCGGGGAACCGATGAGGCATTGCTTCGCGATTTATGTTTAGGTTTGGGAATTTGTATATCCGATACTCAAAGGTACAATGGTATTTTAGTATTGTTCTAATTGAGAATGTATATAGCAGACAGAAGTCCCATAAAGTTTATCAGGAACACCATCTGACGGTATGTCCTCTCGTGTACAACAAAAGGTCTCAAAGACCATAAGAGCTAGAGCTAACAACACTAATGGAAACTTTCATATTTCTCGAATTGTTTTTCTTGTAATTCAAGATTGTTCCACTTCCACCCTATCAAATCATAAAAAACTTAGGTATTTGAATTTTGGTTTGCATATATCTGAATATTGGAAGAAAATATAATAATATAATCGGGAGTTATTAGTCAAAAAAGCATTTCTGTATGTTGAACTTCAAAATCTGGATTTATTTTGAGAGTCTTTCAACATTGCTCAACATAGAACTAGAAACCTTTTTCTTTCTTTTGAGTGATGTGCAACATGCTCCTAGCAATTGTCAACATTTGTCTTCAAATGCCAACATTTCATTCTGCCTGCCGCCATGGTTAATAAATATATTTTATAAACTTAAGCATATTCAGACAAAGTAAATTACCCATGCATAACTCATGTTCCTCATGGAAGTACCTCATAGTAGTTGACACATTACCAGAGATTTTTTACTTGTTTTACTACACTTAACCATGTCATTTGATTGCTGAAATATTATTATAATATATATTCTTTTTAAAACAATCGAATGTTTACCAAAGCAGAGATAAATTTATGATAAATTAACCTTCTTCACATTCGATTTTATCTAATTTAAGGTAATTTTAATTAAGATTTTCATGAGTTTTAAATGTTATATTTCTCTTTTATTAGCCAGCCCCTACATAAAGCAGAACAATGAATGTGACCTGGCGCCAGGGAGCCGCCTTCGTGGGCCTATACATCCTGCTGCTGGCGGTCCTGGTTCGTCCGCAGATGAACTTCAACATGTACGTGAAATCCTTTTTCCTGCGAGCGGACTATTCCGCGGTGATGATGCTGACCTACCGCTTCGATGCCAACATGGCCCTAGTTGCTGGACCACTAAGCGCTGTGACTGTGTACGCCCTGACCCAGTGGAACCAGGGCGGGGGCGAAAATCCCAACGCCCGGAAGATGATCATCACGGCTGTGGTCTGCAGCTATATCCTGGTGCTGTCGATCAACTTCCTGGCCAATGTGCTGGTGTTGCAGCAGGCGCTGGTCCGCTTCGACCAGTGTCCTCGGCAGGCATGGTACATGTACTGCCAGATTGCTGCCTCCTTTTTCAAGTCGATATTGGCAGACTTGCAGACTCTGATCACCAGACACCACGTCAAACGACCCAAAGTGTCATATCGCCTGCGTTAGCCCTGGCGTTCGGATAGACCACAGATGAGACATGGTTTAAATTAAGTCCTTACTGGCCTTACTACTTATTAATCATTACTTTATAATGGATCAATACTAGGACATCTCTGAACGATTGCCACAAGTTGCGGAAGTGAAATAAAGATTAGAAGTGAAAACAGTGTACCAGCCATAAAAAATTAATATATTTATTTGAGACTCGGTTTCAAGCCTGCCTGCTTTAAATTCCAATGTATCATAATTTCATCGGGGCACTAAGTGCAAGTAAATTACTCTGAGGAGGTGATTACTTACCGGCTGCCTCATGTGTCAAATCTGTGACTTTATCTGGACATTAACACGGAAACAATGAACCCAAAGTTCATGTCTGAGGCTGGCGTCTGGGTGGTGGGTGGTGGGTGGTTTCTTGGCGGCAAATGGTGTGCACAGTTTCTTGTGGTCGAAATGCATATTAGAATTAATGCGATTTGCATTTGTCCCGGCCTGCATCGATAATGATGCGTTGCCCGAGGCGACACTTGCCTGTTTGCTTCGGTTACCCAGTCGGGGATTGGGTTTGGGTTTGGGATTGAGACGGATTGAGTCGGAGGAGGGCATGGCAGGGGCATGCAACATTTGTCTAGGGAACCGCAAAGACCGAGGTGGGGCATCCTCCGACGAGTAAGTAATTTTGCGGTTGTATTCCGGGGCACGTTGCTTTGAGGCTTTGGTTTCGGAGTCGACATCGGCGTCGGTGTCGGCTTCCAACTCGATCGGCGTTGTGGCATGGGCCTTTGGCAAATAGTTAAACGCAAACAAAATCCACAAAGTCCCCCCACCAAAAGCCGGCGGGTGGAATGTGGCCCCGGATAATTGGAATTGTGTGCCCCGGCTTGAGCCAAAGTAAAAATTATGAAGCCCTCTCACTGCCGCCATATTATTCCGACGTAAATTCCCAGCAAAATGTTTTACATATATTGCCATAAAAAATATAAAAATAAAAACAAAATACATTGTTTTCTGCTGCTGCTCGAAAACATGTCTTTGATCTCCAAAACATGTGCACAAAAACGCACACGAAAACAGACAAATAAAAGAATACAAAATTAAAAACGGGCCAATTTACACACAAAAGGGAAAACGAAAAGCACACAGAAAACTTTGTGAATATGCATATGCAAAATACAAATCGCAAAACAAATTAAACGAAACGAAACGAAATGTAAGTGCTTAAAACAATGCCAAATGAGTTCTGACTTTGCGCCGCAGGCTTTAAATATTTCCACAAAAAAATGCGAGATATGCTGGGAATGTCAGGTGGCAGTGGGGAGTCGCAGTGGAACGGGTTTCCCCGAGACACTAAAACTTATTTATGCCTGGTGTTTTGATGACGGGGGTGGCCTCTCCTCCACTCTGACTCCAGGCGTGTGCGCCTGACAGCCCAACATCCGATGGTATTGGAACATGCTAATTTATTTCCAAACTGCGGGAAATAACAACACTTCCCATCGAGGGCTGTAAATCAGAGCGAAGCTGGTTAAACCCCAGCGACTGACCATCTAAGTTTAGCCTAAAAAATGCAGAGTGATTTGTCTTCGGTTAAACATTTTTAGAATTTCCCAGTTTGTCATGGGCAATGAAATAAAGAAACCTTCTTATACTGTAAACAAAATAAGACAAATTTAGTTACTTGTTAGAAACTGGTTTATTTTTGATAAAGTTATTAAACGTACAGAAAGGTGAATTGATGCCACGCTTTATTCAATTTAATTTATTTAAATATAATTAGACTTATAATCGCAAATTTAAGTCCAATTAAATATTGTGTAGAGCTTCGATTTATTATTCAGTCAATTAATCAATTATTAATTAATAAGCTTGTTAGAAGTTGTGTTTCCTTGTGGAATTATTTGTGGAATATATTTGACGTTTATGGAGATTGTCTTAAATTTGTTGAAGAGATTAATATATTCGAATTATTAAATTAATACAATTTCAGAACATATTAATTATATGCATATTTTATGGGGTACCCTAAAAAGATCACGAAATTCGCGATTGATTGATAAGTACTCCCTGGTATTTCATATTTATATTTCAAACACATGTACTTGGCATCTCAGAAGACAACAGTTGCCCAAACAATTTAATTCTGTCTTAGATTTCCCTGACTCTTATCTTAAGTGATCATAAAAAAACTGTCATTTAGAGAGTTCAGACTTTAAAGTGTGTTCTAATTTCTTTTTTGCTTTATTTAGTCGGACTTTACGTCGCTACCTGTTTGAATCACATAAAGATATCATCGCGGGAATGGAGTTCCCAGGCACTGCCTGGGATTTTCCCGACGGGATCAGGAGAGATGTTATTGAACTGCCCAAAAGGATTATCAGTGCATAAAGTGACAGTCGGGCGACAAAAATTGAAATGTCAGATCATTGCTGGCCAATAAAAAGCAGTGATTGATGTGCCAATTTGTATATTGTCGATTAACATGTCCGCCCCGTTCCCTCCCATTCGCGGAACCACGCTGCGGCTACTTAATTACGTATACGTACGAGCACAACACCCAAGTTCAGTGGTACAGAGCGAGTGCAATTAATATTTTTATTACGTATAATTTGGATTAATTGCCGCGCGCATTCCATGAATCATCCCATCAAATGTGTGTCAACGCGAGCGCCTCATAGTCCAGCATCCAGCGTTCCAGCATCCCAGCGTCCAACGTCCAGCATCGATTTGCATTTCTTTTGTCTCCAGTCCCTGACGCCACAAACCCGATCTCCGGAATCCCTCAGGTGTTCCTGACCTGTGTTCCTCGCCTCAACGTGTGTCACTCACTCCGCGAATCAGAATCTCAGAGTCCGAGTCCGAGGCCGAAACCGAAACCGAATTCGAATCCAAATCAGCATCACAATCAGAGTTATCTCGACTCCGCTTGACGCTCGGTTGGAAATCCAAGTTTTGAAACCGGATTTGCATGCCAATAAAGTGAAGAGAACCGGGGGATGGATGGAGCACTCGGGGAGTGCTGACAAACAAAACAAATCAAACGAAATGAAATTCTTTCGGCTTTCGCCTGGCTTTTGCTTTAAATACAAAATCTCACGGCTCAGAACATTAGACTGGTTTAAGAGCTCGAATTAAACGCATTCACGGGGACTAAAATCGGACGTCAGTTGAGAACGCATTAAAATCTACCAGCAAGTGTGAAGAGTAAAAAAAGTGTTAAATTTAATTCAAGATAATTATATAAAACATTTATACCAATGGCTGGAAAGCATAATAAGCAAATGGTAAGTTTTCTGTGAAATAAAATCCTTTGCATTGATATTAAGTTTAAGCTTAAATATCTCCTCGTATAAAAAAATATTAATATTAATTACCTTTACTTCCTTTCAGATCCTGCTCAGCTGTAGTCTGGCTGTGTTTCTGGGTATTTCAGAGGCTCTGCCTCGTTACAGTCGTCCCAGGGATCTGGGAACCGCCGCCAGCTTCTCCAGCTTCGCCTATGCCCCACGGCCCCAGGAGCCTCTGGCTTTGACTGGCAATTACAACCTGATCATGCCCGACTACTACGATCACCATCCAGCGGAGTCGATGCAGTTGCAGAACTTTGCCAACTTCTATGACGCCCAGATGAGTCCCGGGGCCGATCTTGGTATGGAGGAGTCTCAGTTCCTGGCCAACACGCCGGTGTATCGGCCGCCACAGCCCCTGACGGAGCAGGAGAAGCGGATCCGCCAGCAGGTGCCGCATGTGGATGTCGTCCGCGAGAAGAAGACCCTGCTCAAGCTGAAGAAGGGCTCCACCCAACCGAAGGGACCCGATCACCAGGAGTGGGACCAGTTCGACTACGACCTGTACAGCCTCAATCCCGGTGACAGCAAGAAATACAACTACGATGTCTGAGCGATGTCTGATGGCGCCTCATTTGGGCCGTCGGATTATGTTTATGTTTTTGTTTTCTGTTAATTTAAGCTTCCAAATAAATTATTTATTTATTGTAAATTGCAATCGGCTTTTGGTCATTTCGATTGGAATGCTGCTCGAGCAACTTTCTGTTTGAACCATCTAATGCCATATAATTGCTCAAGCCATTAACATTCACTTTATGGCCGAAAGCAGGGCAATTCCGGCCAATGAAACCAGGGATGAGGTGGTTCTGGTCTTCTAAACTTAATTATTCTTAAGTAAATATTTTAGTATTGAATTTTTTAAAACAAATTAAAAATTTTATTAACTAATTGTAGTGTAAAGTGGTTTTCATAATTAAATCTTCATTTAATTGAAACTTAAATTTATGCAAGTAGTATCTCACTTTTATACTCAAATCAAGAAATTTATCTTGAAATTGAATAATTAAGTTTATTAACTGTAATCGCCATGATGTTTCCACAGTTCCAAAGAACAATATTGACACATTAAAAACAAACATTAATCTCTACCAAATAGGAAATCCGTGTGAGTCAGTTTATAAATAAACAATCTTGATTCTGTAAATCAAAGTCAACATGTTTTAAGCCACTTTGAATTCGTTGCGAGGGAGTATTGCCAATTTGGGGGGAAATTACTTAATCTGTGTTCAATTTATATTTAAGATAATATCTTTTATATTGGGTTTAAATCAATTCCTTTTGAAGGTCTCAGCTGAAGGTTTCTAAACTATTCCACTCAATTTTCGCTTGATAAATTAAACACAATCACTTTTGTAAACCATCTAAGTTTATTACTGATCCAAAGCAAATCGCCGGAGTTCCTCGATCCTCTCCGCTGAAGGTTCGAAGAACGAAGGATCCACTATGACTTCCTTGTGGTGGGAAATACGACGCGGTTGTGGTCGACTGGCATGATAGGTGGCCACAGAGGCTGCATGGGATTCTGCATCCTCATCTCCACAGGCCTGGGACAGGGGTTGGGGATAGACGCGGGGATTCAATTCGTGCTTCCTGGGACGTTCCACTGAGGAGATCTCCTGCAGCTGCTCACCGGAGGGTCCTCCATAGAGGTAACCATCTTCACCTTCGCCCAGCACCAGGTTCAATGTCACCACCATCTGCCGGAGGGTTAAGCATTTGACGTCACCAGTCTAGAACTAGTTATGGCTTATGGATTATGATTACCAAAAAAGCCAGCAGCAAACTCGTCTTCATGGTTCTTAGTATGTCTCTTCACTTCGGGCTTCGTTGACTGACTAACTCGCCGGTCTTCTGTGGGTTTGCTCATCTTTCCCTTAGAACCGATTATGAAATAATATAAACTGTTATGTTATATTCAAACCATAGTGAGAGAAACCAGTTGCTGAATCGAGTGTGTTATGCTATGCCTTGGCATTGTGGGAAAACATCAATTAATTTCCCACTATTTCAAGCTTGATTTTTTAATGGGGATTTTGTTTTGGCTGAATACTGCAAAGAACACTGAAAGAAATGTGGGGTACTCTTCAAAAAGAAAGAATAGAGTTTAAGTTAAAGGTAAAGCAAGAAGTACATTTATTTATAAATAAGCAAACACCAAACAAAAATTACCATCCCATCTGATCTGAAATATATTAAATCGTAAACTTTGATACTATGATATAGTGCCATATATCATGAAAGTGTATCGTTCGATGCCTTTGATGAGCCATATGCTATGGAAGGCGTACTCTCCTGGCGGCAGGGGCAGGACATTGGTAAAATGTTGATTTAGATAGTGGGTGGGTAGCTTATCTATCACTATATCGTGCTGAAAAATATTAATATAATAATGAGGGCTTTCTTTAAATTAATTGATTTCAACCCACATCATACGGACAGGTGTGGTTCAAGTTGGTGTATTTTTTGGTGGCATCATTGAAGAGCTCAAGCATCGGATTAAATATACTCTTCTTGTCGGTCATAAATTTGCAAATTTCGACAGTGACATTCATGGTTATGGGCATAAAGGAGCGAAACCTTCGCAGGATCTGAAGTCTTGCCTAAAAAAAGATCGAAACCTATAAAAATTCGTTTAATTTGTAATTTTTCAGCCACATACCGTTGCCTCATTAATGGGCAAACTGCGCAAGCGAGTCTTCATTGATATATACTTGTAGCTGCGATTCACGGATTTTATGTAACAATACTCGAATTCGACAAAGTTCTTGTCCTTGGAGCTGCATTTAATATTGGTGAACTCAAACTTCGAGCTGATCTTTTTCCGGTAGGAAATATGTGCTGAATTAGCTGCTTAAAATTGTATGATTTGCAATACTTCTTACCTGGGTTATATCGAAGATTAATATAACCAGCAAAAATAATATAGTTCCCGTAGAAAACATCGGTATTCTTCAGTAAGTCAACGCAAACTGTAGTCATTTTCTTACCAAATTGTAATGAAAATCTATTAACTGGAATCGAATTTGTTGCTCACTGATATGGAACCGAATTCGGTTTCGAATATCACAATCCATGCCTCATTTAGCAAATATTATTTGCATTTTAAAATTATTAAACTAAGACTATTAAAAAATATTTTCATTAAGAGTATTTAAAAAGCTATTACTGTGTAGCGTGAAATGGGAAAATAATATTTAAAGCAGGTCTTATTTGTGTGTCGTCTTTGCTCAGCCTCTGTTTCCAATTATATTTTTATTAGGTTCAATGCCTAGATATCACTGTCTTTTATTTTATATTTACTGATTTTATAATAAATTTCAGTCTACTATATACCTAAAACTTTATTTATTTTATGTTTACTCCAGAGATGAGCTAAAATGTCGACGAAATAAATAAAATTAACCACCACTTACGACTCATTTATGGGCCTATTTTCATTCAAGCCAACCAAATTTGTCTGTCACATGTTTCACCCCATTAGCATAGCCGCATAAATGTATGTTTAGTTTGGCCCCATTACTTTCTCGCCGTGCATGCGACTCTGGCTAATTAGCATGCGATGGCCAATACGCAATCCCGGGTAATAAAACATCGAAGCGAGCCGATTAGGCAACGTCCAACAGATTGGCCAACAAACATTTCTGCTGAATCGCATTTCCATTCATTTTGGAGACACCTCTATGCCTACTTTTGGGGTTACCCCAGTAATTATTCACCCGACTCTTATGGCTTTTGTGGCTTAAAATGTAAACTTCGATCGATTTATTTACAACAATCAACGAGTATTGGCAACTAAGGGTAAAGACTAATAAATTCGATGTGAAATTCGGTGAGTGGTAGGAGAGAGGGTTGGGGCTTAGTTGTGGGGATATCTGGTGATGATCTGCTCCTGGCGTTCAGTGAGGCGGCGATTCTTGGGCCGCAGCTGGTTCTGAGCATTGACCGCTGCTCCTGCAGGGACATAGATTACCGGGGACTTGAAACAGCCCTCCACTCGGGGCTGAGTGCTGGCCCTGGCCAGCTGCACCACCTGCTTGTGGCCCTCGTCCACCTGGCCGGGGCTTAGTTCCCTTCGCTCACAGTTACCGCCGCCCGGGCAGTTGGTCACGAAGCGCTGGTAGTCCCTGGTGTCCCCTGGAGAGGTCTGCTTGTAGTCATACCCGTCAATCTGCGCGCTCTGTGCCTGTCCCACCTGGTCACCCACTCGCAGGGCTGGTGGTGCTGAGCCCGTGGCTGCGATCAGCTGAACCTGCACTGGGTTGGGTGCCACGCCGGAACCGTGTCCCGCATCCAGCACCTGCTGGCCCGAGCCGGTGGTCACCGGGGCATAGGGGTAGGGATTGCCAAAGAACAGTTTCTGAGGTGGTGACTGGGGCGGCCCGTACTGAGCAGGAGGCTGGGCAGCCACCTGGGGTGGACCGTAATAACTGGGAGTCTGTGTCTGCTGCGGCTGGTAGTAGCTCAAGGGGTGAGCCGGAGCTGGAGGAGCCTGGGAGTAGGTGGGGGCCTGGTAGTTGGCGCTCACCAGCAGGGGATTCTGGTAACTGGAGGTGTGCAGCTGCTGCTGTTGCTGCTGAGGAACGGCAGCTGGGTAGGGATATGCCTGCTGCTGGGGAGGAGCCTGGTACAGAGCCTGAGGCTGCGCCACCTGACGCTGCTGCAGCAGCTGGACATACTGGGTCTGGTGATCCTCGTAGACGGTGGGGGCTCGCTGGGCCTCCAGGCCATAGGTGCGTCCTAGAGTGTGGACCGTAAACTTGGTGGTCTGTTGGGGCTGATGCTTGTTGCTTTCGGGACCAAAGGGTGTCTGCGGTCGGTGGTAATGGTATTCTTGGGCTCCGACGAGGGCCAGCTGTGGGGAAATAAAATATCCAAATATCCTGGGGTTAGCTAAGTCCCGGAAGGAGGTCCTTTGCTAGCTCACCATCGAGAGCAGCAGCCAGTGCGGGGAAGGCATCTTGTTTCTTGGTCACTCGGTGCGTTGTGGGCACGTCGCCGGCTGGCAGCTAAATGAGCTCCGGCAGGGCACAAACTCGCGAAGGCAACCCGCGAAGAAGATCACTCCAAAACTGGTTTCAAATCTCAAATAACTTAACTGCCACTGCTGCTGGCTGATGCTGGGACTGAGACGGGCTTTGATTTGTTGTAACATTTTGAACATTTCATAATTTCTTTTCCCCATTTATTGTGTCTCTGCAGCGTCGTTTATTTGTTTATGTTTTTCCGCTCTGGCACTCGAGAGCTCGTTGGCCGCTTGCGGCACCATTTGACTATCACTCACGCAAATTTGGTCATAATTAAAGTGCCAGCTCTTGCAGCGCAGCCTGCTCTTCATTGTCTTCCTGCATTTCTCCACGCACTTGGAAAAAAGCGTATTCAAAGTAGTTTAAAAAACCACATAATTGCTCATTATTCATAGTATTTTTTTCTAAGGAATAGTGAAGTAACAAGAAAATTGGTCATATTGGATAATTTTACACATAAATTTCAGAAAGGTTTCTTTGGATATTTATTGTTTACAAATCAACTGATTCATTTCAAGGGAAATCAATGGCATTTTACGATTTTACCCTCATAAACAACTTGAATTTTGATTAGTATAATTGAACAAGAGGTATAAAAAATCATAATAATATGCTTATTATTCCATTGAAATATACCAAAAGATAAAGCAAGAAAAATCTATTTCATTAATTTATTTTATATTGAATTAAAATTACCCTAAAATGTCTGAATATCTGTCCAAATATTAACAACTTTTTAAAAGCTACAAGATGTTGATAAAAGTTCTTCTTCGTACTGTTATAGTTAGTTTTGGTATTTGTGTATAAATAAATAATAACGTTAATAGTATTCATTATAATACTTTTGAAAATATTTTTTTGTAGTGTCTAGGGCCGTGAAAATGTTTTTGGCCTTTCCGCTTTTGGCCACTTCAGTTCGGCTCGCCTCGGCCTAGGCCAAGTTTAATATAATTTAATTTGCTTCGCATCATCTGTTTTGGCTTTCTGCGAAGCGAGTTATGTTGAAGCGCGGTGAAAAGTAAAAGTTGGATCTTGACTTGGATCTGCATAGATACATATGTATGTATAAAGCCCTGTTGATGGATTGCACAGAGTTTGCAAATGACTTGCTTAACTGGCGAACTATAAAAATCGCATAAACCCAGTCGAGTCTATTTTTGGGTGCGGTTCCTCGATCGCCCAATGTTTTGCCAAGCACTAATGTTCATATAAGTGCTGATATATTTCCATTGTTTGAATTATGTGGGAGATTTAATGCTGTTTTGATTGAATGGCAATAGGCTGTATTTAGCATTTAGGGAGAAGAGAAACTGCATTTAATCTGCGGCCGTGTGGTAACTATAGTCCACAGCTTTATCTTTCTTTGCCGTTTCGCACATAATTAAGCTAAGCAGACGAGCTTATAAATATTCAATAAACCGGTTAATTTGATTTATTTCGAGTCATTGCAACAACCATTCGACCGGATTAAGCGATTGACACGCACCAGAAATGTTTGGCTTTCGAGCGCATTAAAGGAGGCCTTTATGACGATGCTTTTGATGCTTTGCTGCGAGATGTCAGCGGCTTTGTTTCTGGCATTTCCGTTTGACAATTGCACGCAGACTGCTGGCTTCTGCTGGTTGCGCCTGCAGCACAATTCCTTGGCAATTGCCTTCGTCCTGCGTGCGCAGTCCCCTCCCCCGCAGCTCCTTGGCCGCCATTTCGACCGTAATTCCGAACGCGGGCTAACGTCAATCAAAGACGCGCCCTGTTAAATGCACTTGACTGCCACTTGACACAGCAAATGTTGCTGGCGTGGCTCCGGCGTCAAACAAAACATCTTGGCAAGCCAACTGCCAACACTTGACATTCGCCATGAATGCAACCATGCAGCGTTGGCCGGCGGGGGCGTTACACTCAGGGAATAAGAGAGTTGAAAGAGTTACTACATTTTTAATATATTTGTGAATAGGTAGTTCCTAATAAGTCAGCTTTGTTTCATCCGTAGCTCGAGTCTCATCCTTTTCCTTTATTTAATTTTGCATTAAAAGCTAAACACTGGTAACTCTCAGTGCACATAGAGCACGGGCCGATGTCACAGATGGAGACGCACAGATGCGAATGCAGATGCGGTGGCTTATCGCGCATCCGACACGAGAGCAGGAGATGCTTCATAATGCAAGTGGCCAATGCTGCGTATACGCAATCTGCTGCAGTCAAGTCTCGAGAAGGATGAGTGTCTGGTGGTGGCGAGGATTCTATGAGTGGCTGGGTAACTGGGGGAGAGATTCTTCCCCGTGTGGAGTGTGGGTGCGTCTGTGAGTTGTCTGTCTTTGCAGCCTGTTTGCATTCAGTGCAGTTCGTGCATTCAGGGTTATGAGCCCCGGCAAGTTGCATGCAACCTCCGAGAAGATAGAGCACGTGCAGTGTAGAGCGTGCTTTTTTTCAGTTTATATACCACACATCCCCAGCCCCCATACAAAGCGTCACTTTAGACACCTGGCCATGTACCAAGTTGGCCTTTCAACGCCTTCGCCGCTTTGTTGCCGACTTTCGGGCTTTAGTTGCAGCCTGCTGGGGGATCTGCTTAATTAGGCGCACCTGCCAGGGCAGCGGCAAATTAGTAGCAGCCAGGTTGAATGACCTTTGGCACAACAGCTAACGGCCGAAAACAAAAAATGAAATACGAAAAGTAAGGAAAGTAAAGAAAGAAAGGCTGGGCGAGGCGAGGCGAGGTGAGGCTTTAAGCACCAGCCGGCAAACAATGCAACAGAGGTAGGAAACTCGGCAAAAAAAGGCGAAGAAAAATCAATTGCATAATGGCGCATGTGTTGCGCAGAACATCAGCAACATCAGCAGTGGCAGTAGCAGCAGCAACACCAGCAGCAGCACAAATTTGCAACTCTTTTTCCATTTGCACGTTGCAAGACAAAAACGTGCAAAAAGAGTAGAAATTCAACCACCACTTCAAGCAGCGATTTTTGCAATATTTTTTGTATATTTTTTTTTAACTGTCGCAGACACACACTCGCATGTGTGCCGGGTTGTGTGTGTGTGTGTTTGGCAGCTTTTGTTTGCACCCGCATAGGAAGCCATTTAAGTGCGGCTTCTTGAGAAAATTGCAGCCAGAGCGGACACAGAAAGAGACGCAGACAGAGAGAGAGAAAGATGAGGCCCTTCGAGGACGTCACTAACGAGCAACCCCCAAACCACCCAGAACCCCACCCCTTCCATAATTAACAGCAGCAGGAGCCACAGCAACAGACACGGCAACGAGGGCTTAGCTCCCTTGTGGGGCCTATCATTTCCTAGGGAGACAGCTCAAAAAAAAAAACTGGTAAAAAACAAAACGAGGCACCAGTCTACAGTCCATAGCCACGACTATGAAATACCCGATACTTGCTGGCCATTACAAAAGTCAAGCAGAGGCATTCTTTAGTTGCATCTCTAAAAAGACTGGCTTTTATTTCACTTTCTTTTTTGACTTCACGAATCAATTCAGCGGAACTGTAATACCCCTTTACCTTCCTAGAGTACAGGGTACAAATACCCAAAGGGGGCGATGGCTTACGAGGACGAGGGCGGCTGGAAACCTGATCGGTGCAAAAGCCTTTGGCTTGTTGGACGACTCAAGCGCCTTAATAGGCTTAGCAGCGAGTCAACTATCAAAACAAGACCGATAAAAGTTGAGCTCCTCCCCGCTGCTTGCACCGTGGGTCCAGCATTATGCCTGAAATACGTTCAGCTCTCCGGCGTCTCTATATATACTCCTATATATGCCAGGGCACACACAATGTGCGGTGGGTAAAAACTTTGCCTATATGATATGCTCTCATGCTCCAGATGACGAGCCACGAATGCTTTGTCAACGCATGCCACATGGAATATTCATTGGTGGGTTGTGTTTGGGCTAAGGCGGACGCCGGGGAGTGCGGCGGGGGCGTGCCACAGTTTATGGCACGTTTGTGCCGCAGCCAGCTCTCATTATGTGCCTGCCACCGCAAGTACGTGCCCCGGCCATCCTCTGAAGACCATATAGCTCATACGACCCGTAAGCGGGCCAGGCCATCCTTCCAGGAGTCAGGAGTCTGATCCCGATTGTGTGAGTAACCACCTTCCTGTCCTGCCTACGAAGCCCTTTTGTTTTGTAATATCCCTTTGATTACAATTTTGTAAATCCTATATTAAGGCTTTGTTACTTATTTTAATCTCCAGTTGTTAAGGTAGTTGGAAAATAATTTTAATAAAAGGATCAGAACTACTTATATAGCAAGCTTTTGTACTTCATACTATTTATTTTATGTTTTGTCTATCTAAAATATACAGAAGTTATTCATATATGTAGCAGGCCAGTTAAGATAAGTATGCTCTGGCCACTCTAATTGAGATGTTACGCTCTCTCAAAAGAGAACATGAGAGAGCGACTGGCTAAGAATGGGGGTTGATTGAGTGTTTGCTGAGAGCGGCAGATCACTTGGTGAGAAGATCGGAACGAGAGTAGACGTGAAAAGACAAAAGTGTAAAGACAAGAGTGAAGAATAGATAAAACCAAGTATAAAAGTTTAGGATTAAATAATAAAGAAATATTAGTAAGAGAAGAAAAGAACAAGAAGTGTTTAGAACTAAAAGACGGCCACAAACTTCAGAAGTGGGATCAGAATCAAAATTTTTTCTCATCATTTGGAAAAATAAAATAAAAAAATGGATTTGAACATAGCGGATATAACGGTTGTGCAATTAAAACGGTGGTTGGAGCTGTTAAATTTGCCTACGAAGGGCACAAAAGTGGAGCTGTTCGCAATGCTAGCCAAGGTCCCGATTGGGATTCGAGGCAGTGCTCCGGAAGAGTGTGTGGAGACGGAAAAGTTAGGTGACACGGACGTGGAAATCGACGGTGAGCTGGAGATCGCCAAAGAAACTCTTGGAGAATTGCGCGAGGAAACTGCCAAGG